GAGTTTGTAAATTAAAGGAAGGAGACGTTACATCTTAGGCTTAGTTAATGGAACCATAGATTGTGTAATATTTGATTAAAGGCACTTTCCACCTTCTTAAAAAGTCATTCGTAGAAAATGGAGGCCACTCACAGTGAGCATAAATAAAAGAGGGTGACTGTGGTGAGTCACAAATTCAAATGACAGTGCACAAACTTAAATGATGTTAAGTTTAGCAATTTGTCTTATTTTTTGATACTATAAAGAAATGTATATTGTTAATTTCATCATAACAATAAACCAATGAAATATAAGAATTTCTTTATGAATGTTTAGTGAGAAAAAGGAAAGACACCTATTAATAACTGGATATAGTTCGACAAAAATTAGCAAAGTTTTATTTCTCTTGCTGCTCCATTGTTGTTTGGTTGTTTTATCCCTAAAATTCCATACTCTTCATACAACACAAAATATGCATTTCCATGTTTTTTTTTTTGTTTTTTATATCAAACCCAGATGCTTCTGATTGAAAATGAGAAGGGTATCTCTCAATTGAAGGTTAAACAATGTGTTAAAATAACTTTTAATTTATCTTCTATTAAATGCCAAGGGGAGAATAAATTACATACATCTTTATAACCAATTAAAACATCTTGAGTTTAATTGCTGCTTTCTGGATGTTTTCACTAATATTTTTAACAGCCTGAACTCTTTGAGGTTGGAGATCCTCATTGCAGTGTCTCTTATCTTTATCTCCTTCCATCAACTCTCTATTAGATTTAAGCAATAACTCTATCTGGACAACACCAAAATGTGATTATACTGCATTCAGCTATTACAAAAGAAAAGGTGTTAAACAAAGAGTGTCTTGTAAAATTTTGATCATCTGATAGAAATGCCAGTGACCCTAAGTTTTTATTTGTACCTGAGTCTAAAAATAAAAATGTATGGTTCTGGATAACTTACCGGCTTGTTTTGTTAATAATGCTTTTATGAAAAAAAAGGCAGTTTTTCCCGAATAAGTAATAATTATAATCGTCTTTCAATTGACCTGTATACAGTTTACAATACTTTAGTTCATCTATGACTGTATCTGATCTCAACAATCCAAACCCTAATATTTTTGCAAAACTACATTTCTGAAGTTTTTGTAAATAGATCAAGTACTACATATTCTTTCAATAATTTATTTGTGTCTTAATCATCCATAATACAACTTCAAACATAAAGAAAAACTCTTCATGTTTACCTCTGGGTATTTGGAAAATAAGAAAGGCAGAATATATTATGCCAAAACTTAGGATTTTATAATAAAATTATTATTAAGACAACATATGAAAGGCCTTTAGAGACCGAATTATTCCACATTGTCACTCATTCGCAAAACATTTCTTGTCACATGGGCATTAATATTTACCAGATACACTTTAACATATTTTGTCTAATCTTTTGAATCTTTAATTTTAAGCAGTTTAATCTCCAAGAGGCATCTCCATATTCAAATGTCCAGATAATCCCACTGCTGCTTAACCTGTTGCTCTTTGCATCGCATTTCCAAGATATTTGTTAATTCTCATGAAAATACTCTCTTAACAAAAAAACGTTTTTCTAAAATTATGTAAATGTTCAGACATTTTCCAGGATTCCTTCTCAGCTTTCTAAAGCAATTTAGTTATGTTATTCATGTTTTGTTCTGTGTTAATATAACAGGATTTGCAGTGCAAACATTGAATTATACAATGATGACCCAAAATATGATACAATTGATCAAAATTGCTTACAAACAAACTAACTGTGACTAAAAACTGAAAACAAAATCAATTTCATGTTACCGTTATACTGTTATCTTAAGGAATTAATTCTTTCTTACAAAAATCTGTACAATACAATACCTAAACCTTTTTTTTTTTTTCTTTTTTTTTTTTTTCAGTTTTTCTGAAATTTTGGATAAGAAAAAAGGCAGAATTTTGATAAGAGCTTTTAAAGGAAAAATACTTTTAGAATATATTTTTACAATTAACTCATAATTGTTGCAACCAATCACCAATATAATTCAAACAGTAAGGAATTAAGAGTCAATTATTTTAAAGTCAGAGTAACATTTAGAATTCAGAAGAAAAAGGTTTTGATTCTCAAGGAAAGTTCTGATCAGTTATAGTTATTGAAATAAAACTGAAAAAGTGAAAAAGTTGTATTTTTATGTTGTGCAAAGAGCTTAAAAAAAATCTCCCATTCAGTATAAATTGGTGCACATTCCAAGTCCAACTGAGTATATTGCCAATAGAATATATGAATTTCAATACATAGGAAATGTCAGAAATATCAATTTCTGTCACTGCAAAGTGAATTTAAAAGCCAATGTTCATGCGGAGTGACTAACTCCCATTCTTCCTGCACACACATACACACTCCCACACAGACTGTCAGAGTGTGTGACAGAAGGTCTCCCGGGGGCTGATGGGTAGGTCAGGAGTCTGGAGACGGTGTGTGTGTGTGTGGGTGTGTGCGTGTGTGTGTTTGGGGGGGTGCCTAGGTTATCCTCCAAGGAGCAGGTAGTGTTTACTGACACTTTGGATCCTTTGAATGGTAACAGGAATGCAGTACCAGTAAAGAGTTTTGACGACCTCTGGATATAAAGTATATTTCTATTAATCTTTGGATTCAGTGGTTTTTCTAACCTTGTTTTCAACAACTGCATGCCTGCCAAATATATAAATAAAGCACTATAAAACAAACACTACTATAACTTGAATACATTGAGGGATGTTTTATTTATTTATTTTTTCCAAATTAGCTGAAAGTCTATTCAGTCCAAATAAGAGCAAATAGAAGTATTTTGAGCACATAATATTCTTTTATGTCACCTAACAGTAATCTCATTGGTTCCATCAAATGTAAATTTCACTTCCTTTTACTTTTTCTTCCACTTTCATTATTTTTAATCTTTTTTTAAAAGTTATGGAGAGTTCTACATATATTATGCTGCTGTGTTTTCATCATGAACCTAATTGCCTTTTACACTGACCACTCTTTTCTGTATAGTTGGGGTACTTTTTTCACATTTCCACATACTTTATTAAACTTCAAAATAAATAGGCGTCTGTAATGTTATCACTGGCTGAGCTGAAAGTATGAAGATTTACAGTCTCCAAAAGATATTGTGTGATGCCTTGCTTTAACTAGGCATTTTCAATTAGAGCAAGATTGTTTTTCTATGAAAATCGAATATGTTGTATCAGCTCATATTTGTTTTTTTTGTTTGTTTTTTATTGGTCTTCTCCTCTTAAATTCAAACTGATCTTGAAAGGGATGTTAATCTAGCAGGAAGATTTATTAATATTATTATTATTTTTTTTTTTTAAATGTCATTCAGACTTACTGAGTTTTTTATAGTAAGTAACAAATGACAGGAAAGAGGGAAAATTAATTATCTGGTTCGATTTGTAAGAAGCAAAAGCAAATATTTGAACTAAGTAAGCTTATTGGGAAGAGTAAATTATATGTTTGATATGTCTTTCTTAACAAAAAAGTCAACTAATGTCACAGTGAGTATGCCAATAAACACCACTGTAGTATCTGCTCTTGTGCTAAAACTAATGTTGCAGGGTTCAGTAAAGATTGCCATAGGTTACCAGAGGTTAGCTGTCTTCCTCTCGGGTTAATCTTTGCAAAAGGCTGAGGCTAAACTGAAGCTTTACTCCCACAGGACCTTTTACTGTATCTTTACATTACACTTAGCACAACACACAGGCCGATTGGGAGTGTGATCACGCAGTACAGCAGCCAGTGGACATTGCAGAGAAGGAAAGCAGAGAGTGGAGGTGGACCTCCATGTTAGGCCTGTAAATAATCAATAAGACTGTTGAGTTTAGGCGTTAAATCACCGCAGGAGCATGCAGCACTCAGGAACTCTAAATCTTTTTTGCAGGCAAGGCTGAGCGGCGGCTGAATGATTGCTGATGTATGTGTATCGTTCTGTGTGCACATTTACTGAACGGGCAGGTATGTCGAGAATAAATCAAACTTTATTCAGAGACTGAATCAGGTGAATAACTGCACAATAGCCCGCATGTCAGGCCTCAACACAAGCTGAAACAAATGCAAAACATACTACAAAGCAATCACCTGTCTAGTGTGGAACGGATGATTGTACATCGAGTATAAGAGAAAAGCAGTGTAAGACTTGCCACGAAGAAGTCTGCCTAATAAAACAATCATGAACCCTCCCTGACCAAGATGATGTTTTCTTACAATTACTCTTTGTTTTTGTTGCCTTAGGGTTTACTTTGCAATCAGCTAATCCAATCTTCAGAATTAAAGAAGAAAAAAAGTGAGAAACACTCTCATTCACCTGAGAAGAGCATTGATGTAACTATGTGAATGCAACTAACAGATATGTTTTACCTAAATGGTACAAATGCATATGCATTTTTTTTCCCATTTTACATCAGCTATAATGTTTTACCTTAATAGCCCAGTGGACCTGACCAAAACCCGTGCAAATTATATTCGGCCTTCATTTCTGTGCAGCGATTGCACAGCAAGATCCCCTTCCCCAGACCATCCACCAACCCTCCCCCCACATGCACCTAACAGGTTCATTAAACACGCTTGCCAAACAGGGAAAGAGTCCACGTCACACATAGGATGGGAAAGAGGTGGGAACTAATGAGCAGCAACAATGACCCAAGGGTTCTTCCTTCGAGTTAAAAAAAAACAGCAGGGAGACTCTCTAAAGTCAAACACACAGAAGTGAGAACAGATGCAGAAGTCGGTATCGACGGGAAACAGCTGCTTCAGAAACAAACACAACAGTCGCCCTAAACACCATATTTAAAATGTTTGAGCCACAGGAGGTTCACAACTGATGTTGATACAACCATCTGAGACCAGCTGGACTTTCTGATAAATGCTCAGTTCTTAGTTTGCATTAATCCAACTGGAACATGACCACATGACTTGATCATAATTGAAGTTTCACTAAAAATTGTTACGCCGTCATGTTTTCTTTTTTTTGTGCGTTTACCAGGTCTGCTAGCTAAATGAATAAACTTCTATGAACTTAGATAAAAATGTATACCAAAAGACCGTTTCTGCTTTTACTTTTAATTATAAGGGATGATAAAATGGCAAGGATTTTGGACAAAAAAACATTCTTTGCAGATCTGTTATTAGAAAGTGTGGTTCAACCACAAATGGTTCCAGTTTCATCTGAGAAATTGGAAATAATTTTCTCTATAAAGAGTCAGCCTATCTACTGAGAACAGCACAGAATTGGTAAATTATGCTCAGTGCTCAGTTTTGTTTTCTCATTAGGACATAATAAAAATAATCTATTTCTTATTTCAGAAATTATTTAAAGGTAATCTCATGTCCAAAACCACTCAACTGATTCCATATTATTTTTGATATTTAAAAAAAAAATGAAGCCAAAATTGGAAAGAAAAAAACTCTCCATAAAAAGTGTTTGAAAAACCACCAACTCATATTAATCATTTTTCTGTCCAACTTTTAGCAGTTTCTCAAATCTTTTTAAGTAATTCTGCAGAATATTCTACCATATTGCTTCATTGCTGGCATGTTCAATCTTCAGATCCTTTTTTTAGTTGTCAGACAGATGGCATCATATTGGACTTTGGAATACTTTTTTTGTATGGAGAGTGGCTTGATATATCTATATTCTAATTTTTAATTCAGAACTAATAGGCTTGAGCTTCAATCCTTTTGAAAAACTGGAATATTTTCAGTCAAGTTTTGTATGCTTAATATTGTATCTATTACTGTAGTACTTTGAAGACTGATATGAATTTATCAATTGTTAAAAAAAACTAATCCAAATATCTTAATTGCTTTTAATGACCAAAGACCAATATTTTTCGCTGTCTTTGTAGTGGGATACATTTCAGATTTTTATGAAATCCTCTAATGACCCTTCAGCTATTTACCAGGGACCACTGATGTTGTCTTTCTACATTAGCATGATGTCAACACACATGAACATTTCACTGCAGTAAAATGTCCAAACTAAGAATGTATTTATCTAAACTTTGCCTGTGTAAATTCTGTCATTGGGGTCATGGCAACCAGAAAACAGTCTTTAATCAGAAACAACCAGATTTTCGCTAAGTTTTTCACTGGGTAAGTTTCTACTGTACACTTGCATCCCAACAAGAGGACATACCATTGATGACCATTAAGTTCACAAATTGGACAAAGAAGACAGATGGTTTGAAATAGGAGTGAAGGAAGCCATCTTTGTTACAAGATATGTTTTTTTTTTTTTTCCCCAAAAGTATCTCAATAGCAGCAGCCGGCTGCTACTTTCCTGATGTAATACAACGTATAGCTGTATCGATTCTAAATTTGACTTAATTTTATTTTTTTAACACAATAAAATCTATGTAGAGTCTGTTTTGTGAACCTAAAACCCTAGAATTTAATAAAGGTATAATTAGTTTTTTCTGTTCTTTATTTCTGCCTGTTCTTCCTTAACATGAACAGTGTTTCATGATTCCAACATAACTTAAAATTTACAAACCCTTTTATTGTCACATCTTAAAATGAAATGGGAAGGTAGTTTATGTGTTTGTGTTTATAATGAACTGTCAACCATGTTCATCTTTACAAATATCATATCATGGTCAGCTACTAAGATAAAAATGAAGTTATAAACCTTGAAATTTGATTTCTTCTGATTGAATAAAACCTGAACTAAAATAGATGTACTTCGCCACATAAACGCAGACCCAGCATGTTGCCACACTGCAGGGATAAAAAAGAAGAAGAAACACACAAACAAAAAAGTCTTGTGGTAGTAACTCGGCACCGTCGGTGATGCTCAAGAGTCCAGATTCCAGCAGCGTGACGCTAAACGCTGTGATGTCATTCCCCCATGCGTGTAGAGACTTTTAGTCCATCAAAGGGACATTGTGTGAAGATCTGCAGACAGCACAACAGCCACAGATCCACACTGAGAGACACAGCAGTTTCATCTGTCCCTGTTTGTAATATTTACAGCTCTGTACACTAAAAAAAAGGATTTGTTCACAGCCAAAAAACTAAGATACAACTCCAGTGACTGAAAAAATGTCTTTTCCTTTAGCTGTTTCTGTTGATTGAATCAACTTGACTAAAAAAAATCTGATACGTACGGCCTGCAGAGTAGACAAAGATAAAGTAAAGCAAAAAAAAAAAGTTGAGGATAGATAAGATTACACAGTATACTTAAGTAAAATTTACAAGAAGGTCTTCCCAATCCCCCCCCATGATGTTTTTGTTCTTTTTCTGTTCCAACACAGCAAATAAGCTTAATGCCACGCACAATAATTCAACTCAGCTAAATAGTTTCCCATGAAATTATCACAACGTAGTTTACATTCCTTCCACAGCTGCTATAACTGAGTTTCCTTCTGTTCTTGTTTCTATTTTTACACTTGATTGGTTTTTAGAGGAGGGTAACAGCGGCGACGGCGGCAGCAGGAGAGGTGGGGGTCTAAAGCCTTGTTCGGTGATGCAGTTGACAAAAGGAAAAAAGGGTGAGTCGTACTGCAGCACAGCGAGTTGTAGGCACAGGGGGTGGCTGTGTGGAGGTGGGAGGCGAAGAGGTGAGCGGCATTGTGGATCATTGGGGCTTTAAAGTTGAGAGAGCTTGGCCCTCACAGGTAGATCTCCCTCTTGGAGGTCTGGCCAGTTGGGGTGGTTGTGGAGTTGTACTCCGCTGCCTGGCTCAGTGGTATCTCCTCCAGGCCATAGTCTTTACCAGACGAGTCTCCAGTCCCCGGATAGGCACTGCTGTAAGGGGTCATAAACCTCATGCTAGCCACCTTGGAGCTGCTGCCGGCGCTGCCACCCGTCCCGCGTTCCTCGGTCACCATTGGCTTCGGGCTGCCATTGGCCATGGGGTGCTCCTGTCCGTCCATTTCCTGGTAAGGCACAAAGGTGGAGAGCTTGGGTGCACTCTTGGAAACCTTGCGGTTAGGGGAAGGCTGACCAGGCATCCAGCAGGAATCAGAGTGGCCAAACTCTGTGCACTCATGCGTGCAGTTACCGGTCATTGCTACGTCCGGGAGGGGCCTGAGATCTGCAGAAAGACACAAAAGAAGAGTAGGATAAGCTACCATGAAAATGCCTACAAAATTACAGTGGTTGAATAAGATGGCTAATTTTCATATAACAGACAAAAATAAATTGCTCCCAGAAATATTAATGTAAACATTTTTAAATCTTTTCTCAAAAAAACTGTCATATAGATTCTGGTTTGCATTTATTTGAAAAAGCCCACGGCCAACATCTAATCTACCTAGTCCACATTTAAGTAACATATTATCAGTGTAAATCCAGCTGTTTATAAGAAGGCTTCTAAGTTTGTTTAAAAAATCTGTGAAAGAACAGCATCATCAAAAACAAGGCATGCAACAGAATAGCCAGAAAAAAAATTGTGAAGAAGTCCAACAGAGGGGGAAGTTATAGAACGATATATATTACACATCAATGCATCAACATTGACAGAATAAGTAAAACTGAAAACATAAGGAGACATGGATTATCACCTAAATAAAAAGGCAAAACAATGGAAGATGGAGAACTGAATACATCTACCAGTTGTAAATAAAAAGAAAAAATGCCAATGTCAAAGAAACAATTACTTCTACTTCACAACTGAGCACTACTTTGTGTTGGTTTATTACTAAATACAACTTATTATATTTACTAACAATATTTTGAAGTTGTCATCAAAAAGGGATGAAATGGGAAAAACTTCATAATTTAATCCATTATTCCTTCTAAAGTAAGGGCTAAAGGAATGAGGAAAATCTAATTCCAAAAAGCTTTCTCACGCTGCTTATCATATCTATTGAAAAGTGGAGATCAGAGGCTTTGATTATTATACGTCTTCAAATCTGCTTGCATTGATTAGGATAAAAATAATGCTGCTTTGCAATGAAACATGATGTTTGGCAATTAGAGAGCACATAGTTTAAACAAATAGTGAAACAACTCCTGGATAGAAGGATAGAAAACCCAAAATACTGGTAATTTTGTTAAACAGATGTTTCGTTTTTAAAGAACTCACAAAATCAGGTGTTTAATAGTATTGTCTGGATTTGTTTTATTATCTTTTTTATTACTCTTGTTATTTTGTGCAATGATTTTGAGTGATACTGTGAAATTTCAACTGTATGTGAATTGTGAGGAATTTTGGCCTTTCTTGTTTTGCATATAGAAATACCCAATAAAGGTTGCCTAATTCATTATAGAATTATAGGGACACGTCAAACTTCAATAAGGATGAGACTGCTAATGGAAACCTTATCCTTTTATCCACACTGAGCAACCATTTCAAGGAAATCAATTAGATCAGTGTTATTTTTCAAGTCATTAATAGCTCACAAAATGACAGGATTTGTCTTCTAATTTGCTGCTGGAAGTCAGAGACCTCATGAAACTGAGTGCAGAGCGTGAAACAGGATCAGCTGCCTTAAAGAAGGCAAACAACCTCAGGTTCATTAAGATGTAAATAATGTTCCTCAGGAAATTAATTAAACCAAAAATAACAGTGCAAACACAGATTATGATTTGATCTGTTTATAGGGTATTGTGGGTTTATAGTCTGAATTTTCCATTCGGTTTCAGAGCTTTTGTCCTCGTTTAGTAGTCCCTAAGGCAGACAAAGAGTGACAGACAGCAGGGGTAAGTTTGCATAAAAAAAAAATATCACAGCTCAGAAGAGAAAAAGGTCAGAGATGGAAGCAGAAATATCAATGCGTATGCAGAGAGTAACCTTTCTTCTGTGCGTGACATTAGATCATTCTTTGATACTGCGGGCTACAGTCTTGCATGCTGTGGGGAGAGGCAGAGAAGAGGCAGGAGCTGGTCCGCTCGGGGAATGGTGCTGATTTCTCAAAATGCCCTCCGCTTCATGCATAATTGACATTCATTGCCTGTATTTGGCAAAAGTAGCTACAGTCGGCTTTTCTGTCTGTTTCCCGGTTGATGCATCTGTTCTTATACAGGGTAGTGCTGAGTGGCCAAGGTCTCCCTCCTTACGTTTTCTTGCCTGCCGCTGGCTCGGATTTGGGCTTTTAAACACTTCCCATGCAAAAGCCAGACGCTTGCAAAAACTGTTATGTCATGTGCAAGCAGCTGCAGAGTTTAGAGCGCTTGATTATTAAGTGCTCAGACTCTGAATGTCGCGTCAGCATAAGCCACATGGAACACGTGCTTCCATGAAATCGGAACAAGATCTAAATGAGACCCACCAACAGGTGGGGAGCCACATCCTGCAGGAAAACTCTTGTTCTGTAACTTTTAAACCTCTTTTATTGGTTATCTTATGCTTATTTGACACATATTTTACTTTGTTACACACATTTTGAGAATCCCTTCTACACATGTTTCCAACATAAAATCAAACATATATTGATCGTCTTCCTCAGCTCCTCTGCTTTGTGTGAACAAAACTGTGCAGGTATTGATATAATAGAGGTGGAACACTTGCACTGGTCTGATCATCCCTTCATTGACTTCCTGTTCATGTTTAGATTCACATTTATAACTTTTTATTGCTTATCTAAACGTTCTACATCATTAACACCAAAGGTGATGGTTCTTTAACAGTCATACAACAGATGTATGTACTATAAAGATAGAAAAAGAATATAAATTAAGAACAAATTAGTCAAAAAATAAAACTTAAAAAAAGAAATTAGTTCACCTAATTTGCTTTTAATTTCTGATACCCAATTATACTTGTTATTTGTCTTTTCTAGGCAGTGCAAGCCTGCCTTGCTATATTTTCCTACTGCATAAATAGATTGAGGAAAACTAACATGGGTAGGAAAGCAGAGCCTGAATCTCTTGGTTTCCCTCACAGAGCAAATACTAGATCTTAACTATTTATAGAGTAATGAAGCAAAAATATACACTAAACAATGCAGTTTTTAAGAGAATTGTAAAAAGATAGAATAAGAAGATTAAGCAAAAGATGCAAATAGAGGAAGTGCAACTTAACTCTAAATTCACTGGTTCGAAATGTGACATTATCATAGCATTGATCCTTCAGCACAGGAGTATACTGATTCAATCTAAGACTGGTCCAGTAGTGGTTATGTTTTTCTTAATTAAACACAAGAGCTAAACGATCACAGCCTCAGATAATGCTGATTGCAAAGCTTGATGGTGGGAAAGGTTTTTTTTTTTTTAAGCGTGGGGTGGAGTCACTATGAGAGATCATTACTGGTCCTTATGTACTATAGCACATTTAGAGGACATTTCTGCATCAGCTGCAGTAGATTTTGGATACTGATTAAATTCCCCTAATTCAACTGCTATCAGCTTACTATTACACCTTTATCACATCAGAATTAAATGTAGAACTTCCCTAAATAAGCTTGAGCTACCTTAATGTCTGTTATTCTGCCTTTGTGGATAAGCAGCTATTAATTTTTTTTTACACTAAGAGACACTGAGAAATCCCCATCATCTGCATGATAAATATGGAAGTATGCCACAGTTGGACAAGCCTTCACTGAAACGGCCAAAAAAGAATTTCAACACGGCACAAAAATCAAAGCTGGCCCTATTTTATATGGTAGAGGTCACTTGGGATAGTGGAGATTATCTTTGACCCTCACCAAAGCTAAATGTTCAGAATATGACAGTGTTCCTCTGAGGATGTGACGCCTTTTATATTCATAGTCTCATCCCCCTAGGAACACTTCAAATATTTTTTGGCTCTGCAACCCCTGGAGCTCTGAAAGTAGTCAAATTATCTCAGGGTTGTTCCTGCCAACAAACTAGTGCTGAACGTTCCAAATCCATGCCTGGCAAATATTTTGGTCTCTATTCAGCATAAAATAAATATAGAATATTGGGACCTCACAGATTGGTGTGAGATTATGGGACATCAGGAACAAAATTTAGGTCTCAGTTACATTTATTTCTGCTCTAAATGTTGCCAGAAAAGACAAATCAACAGTCATTAACAACCGGGCACAACATTTTCAACATGGTCCAACTGATCTAACACAGCAGGTCCAGATATCCAAACGTTTAGAGAGAGCATATTCTTATAGCATACAGTTTACTAAATTGTCTCTATTGACTTTTTGTTGATTCCAGCAAACTTCACTCATAATATTACAAAGAGTGCTATTGAACTACACCTTTATTTTTGCGTAATTTGTCTCTCTATTGTGATTGTCTTTTGTTTAACTAAGATTGGGTCATGAAGTCTAAAACAGTCTAAAATAATCCCTGGAATTACCTCTTTACCTCAAAGATTTTTTTTTTTATTTTGCTATTACTTCCATCCTGAGATGGACATGTTAAAATGTCCTTAATAAGTAAAATGCTCAATCGCCAATAGCTGAAAGCCAACTGTAAACGTATTGCAACATAAAAGAATCTACCCAGAGCTCTGCAAAGATTAATCAGAGATTAAAAGATTGTATAGCAAAATGAAATCCCTTTACGTCAAATTGAGATTAGGGCTAAAACTATTACTCTTTTGATTAACCGATTAATAATCAGAGAACAAAAGGATCCTTAAAAAATATTTTTTTTATACAAAATCAAACCAGGTGAAACTAAAACATTCCCATTGAGGAGTTCTGGATAGAAAATACTGACAGATGAAAACTTTATCTTAAAAGCAAAAAATATTTATATTTTTTACAAGTTTGATATAATTGCTGCTCTAGTTGGGTTGCTCTGTCAACTAAAGTAAAATTTTAAATCCCTTATTCTCCAGTTAAAGATGAATCAAATATTAAATTAGTTAAATTATGATTATTTCAATAATAGATAAATCACAATTAATCCAATGAATAGCTTCAGCCCTGATCTTCAACAAGCTTTGCATTAACGATGATTTCATGAATCAGGACTTACCGCACAGCTGTGAGGTTAACCAATAGATCTCTTGTGTATTTTCCATATCCCACTGTGTTGTGGCGACAAAATGTTCTTTAGAGAGTTTAAGAAAATCCAATAACGAGAACTGAAGTTGTTACTGACACAGTTTATAAACCTCCAAAAGCTTTCTCCCACAACAGATTAGAGGTCAGAATGGTTTTGCTC